CTCCCCATAGAAGGTAGGATTTTAGCTAGGAATTAAAGGAGGCCAGGGAGGTCAGCAGTCAGAGCAGAGGAACAAGTGCCTTCCAGGCCTGGGGGACAGTGAGAGAAAATGGCTGGAGATGAGAGATGGAGGATCTTGTTCATGGCCAAACCAGGAGGCCACTGTCACTGGATCCAAGAGTATGTGTGAGGGAGTGGGGTGTAAGAAGACTGGAATGGTAGGAGGGGTCTGGGTTATGAAAGGCTCTGAATGCCAAATAGGTGATTTTGTATTTAATCTTGGAGGACATAGGGAGCCACTGCAGTTTATTGAGTAGGGAAGTGACATGGTCAGACCTGAGTTTTATGAAGATCAATTCAGTGGCTAAACGGAGGATGGACTGGAGTAGGGAGAGACTCCAGGCATTCTGACACCGCTCTCCTCCCCAGCACTTATTGTAGTAATCCAGGCAGGAGTTGATGAGTGTGCACGAAGGGGTGGCAGTGTCATAGGAGAGAAAGGGGGAATATTCAAGAGATGATGCAGAAGTGAAATCTACAAGAAATATGGCAGTGGTGAAACTGATGAGAGATGCTGCAGAGGTGAAACTGATGAGAGATGCTGCAGAGGTGAAACTGATGAGAGATGCTGCAGAGGTGAAACTGATAAGAGATGCTGCAGAGGTGAAACTGATGAGAGATGCTGCAGAGGTGAAACTGATGAGAGATGCTGCAGAGGTGAAATTCATCAGAGATGCTACAGAGGTGAAACTGATGAGAGATAATGCAGAGGTGAAATTGATGAGCAAATGTATATGTATATGTCTTGGGATTTGAACTCCAGTCTCCCTGACTCTAAGTCCACTGCCCTACTCACTCCAGGATGCTGCCTCTCAGGGCTTCCAGCTATGCTGGCTCCCTTTCCTATCCCTGAAAAGGACCAAAAGTAAGGTGGCATCCCCCACTCCAGGCACTGGGCACATTCCCACTGTCCTATTTTGAAGATGAGAAAATAGAACGGGTGGGTAGGAGCTATATGGAGGCAGATTGTGGCTCAGTATTTAAAAACAAATGAACAAAAACTTTCTAATAATCCAGGTTGCTCAAAAGTGGAATGGGTTGTCTTATGGAGGGTATCTACCATCGTGAAGGACCTCAAGTTGATGGCATGGGAAGGCTGGCTGAAGGAGAAGACTATCTCAAAGGTTCTCTCATGAAAGATGAATCCTCTTGGTCCCAGAGGGCGGCTTGGGAGCAACGGTGGCAGTAAGGCTTGTTGTAACGAAATGTCTCCTAATAACGAGCTGGCCAAAAGAGGATGGGGCTTCTTTGGCAGGGGTGGGCTCTCCCTCCCTGCAAGTCTTTAAGCAAAGGCTGATGCCTACTTGTTGGGGATGTTATAAGGAGATTCCTCTTCAAGTCTGGGTTCAACTATATGCCTGCTGCCCCTCCACCAGCTCCTTCCCTACCCTCTTCTCCCCTACCCAGGAAACCAAGGCAGGAAGGATCTCACACACTTCCCCCTGCCAACAGCCATCCCACCAAGGGTGGAAAGGATGCGGAAGGTTTTGGCAGGAAACTTCTACAAACCCATTTCATTAGCTAACCTAGTGAACCTGGGCTAATGCCCACAAACAAGTGCCAGGAGCACATGCATTAGATGAATTGGTTCTAATTGGAAGGTTTCATCACAGTATAGGAGATGGAGAGCTGGCCCCAGAGTCAGGAAGGCTAGAGTTCAACTCTGGTCTCTGATTTATACTGGATGGGTGACCCTGGGCAAACTCTCACTGTCCTAGAGAGGGCGCCAGCCTGCAGTGGTGGAGTTTCTCTATACAAGGGATAGGAACTAAACCTGGTACAAGGACCTTCTAGGTGAGGAAACTCCCTTTGCCAATGCTGGGCAGCACCTCCTCTGAGAAGTTGAGTCTTAGAGAATCAGGGTGCCTGTTGAATTGTCACAGAGATTATGTGCATCAGATATGAGACATGGGGCCTTCCTGGCTCTGAGGTCATCACTCTATCCACTTCCCAGGGTGCTGCCACTCATTAATTCAATAATGTTTATAGGTTACTTATTAATAGGTGTCCTGAGCACTGTGGGGGAAACCCAGGTCAACGAGATAAGCTCCAGCTAGGATCGCAAGTAACTGGGCTACACAGGGCATGTGTGAGAGATGCCCTAGAGGCTGGACTTGTTTGACTTAGTCCCACGGGGCAGTCGTGGAAGATTTCAACTTAACATATGGGAGAACTTCCTAAAAACAGCAACAGCCAATGAGTGAAATGAGCTCTTTCGGAAGGGTCAAAGTGAGGCTGAAGGTCCATTTGGTGGCGATGTCACAGAAGGATGCCCATTCAGGTTTGGCTTTGGATTAGGTAGACTCTGAGGTCTTGGACAAGGCTAAGATTCTGTGACCCTATATCTTTTTTTTTTTTTTGGCTAGGCAATGGGGTTAAGTGACTTGCCCAGGGCCATACAGCTAAGTGTCAAGTGCCTGAGGCCAGATTTGAACTCAGGT